GAGCGGAGCCAGCGCAGGAGCGGAGCCAGCGCAGGAGCGGAGCCAGCGCAGGAGCGGAGCCAGCGCAGGAGCGGAGCCAGCGCAGGAGCGGAGCCCCCCGCGCAAGGAGCGGAGCCAGCGCAGGAGCGGAGCCCCCCGCGCAAGGAGCGGAGCCAGCGCAGGAGCGGAGCCCGCCGCGCAAAGGAGCGGAGCCCCCCGCGCAAAGGAGCGGAGCCCCCCGCGCAAAGGAGCGGAGCCCCCCGCGCAAAGGAGCGGAGCCCCCCGCGCAAAGGAGCGGAGCCAGCGCAGGAGCGGAGCCCCCCGCGCAAAGGAGCGGAGCCCCGCTCTCCTCAGCGCCCCGCCGCTCCCTTACCTTGCTGCTGCGCGCGGTGGGACCCACTTGAAGCGCTCGCTCTCTTCCCACCCCTCCCTCGCCAACTGTTTTCCTTTCCTCCTTTTCTTCGCCTCTTTATCTATTTCTCTCTCTCTCTATCGCTGCGCGCCCTTGCAGCGCGGGCAGCCCCGCTCGGCGCAACCGCCTCCCGCGGCCGCTGTGCCCGCGGCGGCGGCTCGCGCGGGGGGCGGGCGGCCGAGGGGAGGGGCCGGGGGCCGGGCCCGCAGGTGCCGCCCCTCGGGCAGCGCGGGCAGCCCGGCCGGGGGGCGCCCGCGGCGCGGGGCCGCCACGGGGCGGGCGGCGGCTCCTCGCGCCCCCCACGGGGCGCTCAACGGGCCGTGGGGCAGAGAGGGAAGGAGTCCAAACGGAGCCGAGGGTGGGAGGTTGGCACGGCTGGAGATGGCCGGGGAGGCAGGCGAAGGGGGTAGGGATGGCGCTGCGGAGCGGGGCAGTGCTCGGCGTCTGCGCCCAGCGGCAGGCGGGAAGGGCAGCCCCTGGGCGGAGGTGCGGGGGGAGGCGGGAGCCGGCGCGGGCCCCGCGGGGAGCGCTGGGTCGCGGCGCTGCGTGGGTCGCTTCACGTTTTGTCCCGGGATTAGCTGGAGATGGGGCCAGTCTCGGTGCTGAAGTAGGAGCCGGAGGGCTTCGTGGGGCAGGAGGGGGACGGGGGAACGCGGAGCTGCGACCCCGCGCTGGAAATCAGCGTGCGCGGAGGTCAAGGCGAGAGAGAGGAGGCAGCAGCTCAGCGGGCTGGAGGGCTTCGTGGGAAGAGAAGGAGCCGGGATATTAAAAGCTATAAACGGAGCTGGGTCGAGGTGGAATAAAAACAGCAATTCTGAAGGATTCTTAGAGTGTATTAATATGAAGGTCAGACTCAGCAGGGGCACGGGAAGGACACAGGGCTGCAGCGGGGCGCTCAGGTACTCAGAGAGCTGTGGGAAATTGATTTTGCTTTTTCTTCCTTTCCCCTTTGATGGATTAAGCTCTGCTGCACGAACCATCTCCACTCTGCTTCCCTTTCTCCTTTTCAAAGGGAGCGTCCCTGAGATGCCTTCTCCTTTCAGGAGACACGACAGTTACAAAGACTCATCTTACACACGCACCGCGTCTTATTTGCCTGCTTCAGCAACAGGGCTGGCAAAAAAAAAAAAAAAAAGAAAAAAAGAAAAAAAAAAAGTGGTCGGTTTTATTCGTGTTCTTTGTCAGTGACCTGCAGCATGACTTTGAGGGAGAGATGTTCGGCACCTTCCTCACATCCTTTTCTTACGTAACTACGGGTTAAAATATCAAGTTCCAGTATCCTTGTGAGTGCTCCCGTATCACAAGTAGTTCCCATTTTCACAGGTTTCGTCAGAAAGTCGTAAGGAGAAATTTGTGTATACCTCTTGGAGAAAAGAGCGACAGCACAGAGATACTGAGGTCCTGCTGTACTCGATGCAGAAATGCAAAATGGACTGTGTCCAACACAACATAGATGCTTTCAAACAAGCAAAAAAGTTAGCTTTTTTTTTTTTTTTTTGCAATAATTGTACTCTTTCCAGTAGGCAGTGATGTGGTTCGTTAGCTGTTCTCATTTTCTTTATTTTAATTTAAGCACTACTATTTTTCCATGCGATGCTAATTTTCACTCCATTTCATTGAATTTCATTGAAAGTGTTGAAAATAATGCAAGCATGTATCAGTAGATAAGTGAGAGATGAAATGGGATGTATTTTTGCACAGTCTTCACAGCGAACTCACCAGGAAGTAATTGCCATTTCAGAAAGCCACTTCAGATTGTGCAACACGCAACATATTTGACTACAACCGTGAGCTTCACAGCTCCCTCACTGCTCTCAAGAACAAGCTAAATAAAGCTTTTAAGCTGCTTCATTCATTGACTTCTTTGATTCTGAGAAATTTATTTTTTTTTTTTATTATGTGAATAACCAAATCAGTCATTTTTGAATGGAAAGTTCATGTCTTGAATTGCTTAGAGCTGACCTTGAGCTGTGGCTTGCCTGTAGACATGTCCGTTAGCATAACAATATTAATATCTGTATATTTATAAAGATGCTAAAAATGCAACCTCTAAAATACATATATGAAAGTTTAGCTGAAGTGAAATTTAAGAGACTTTGCCAAGTCAATAGGAAATGGATCAGGACCTGAAATTTTGCGGCTTAGCCTGTTCTAAGAAGAACAGAAATTCTGGAATTCCAGAAATTGGAATTTCTGGAAACCTGCAAGTAGATACTGCAGCGAAAATTAGAGTGCTGTGCTAATATGTGCGCTTGTATGTCATATATGTTGATTGTGCTCTTGATCCTCTGCAAAATACAGTAGAATTAAGGAGTCTCAGTCTCTTGAGATAATGTTGCTGTGTGACCCTGGGCAGATTTTGACAATGACATTATTATTACTTAAATGCACAAGAGACTGGAAAGCAAGGTACATGTAAAAACCTGCCTATGGTTTTTACAACCTAGATTACATAATTATATCTAAATTGACCCCAGTTATTGCAGGCCATATTTCCCTTGACATTGCAAGGTGTTTAATTTTACTTAGGGGTGTTTACTGCGTGAGTGAGAACTGTTCTGGTTGCTTTAACACAAGAAATCTTTTGTTATCTGACTTCTTTTGGCTTTGCTTTTCATGAAAAGGAAGAAACGTTCTTTGTTTTCTTCCAGCTTTTCTATTTTGACTATCAGTATTTGCAGCTTGTAGGGTGGTTTCGCCCGTGCCATCTGTGTGCCATATTGCGCATCAGATGGTGGGGTAAAATCTGTAACAAGAACAACCTGGAACATAAAAGTCTTTCAGGGTTTGAAGCCATGATATTCGCAGCACAAACGCGCGGAGCCGGTCGCATATCCGAAACAGAAGACACAAAATGCTCAAGCAGCTGCTGGAGTGAAATAAAGGAGAGACCACACAGTTTGGAGAACGTGCAGGCAGAGGGAACAAAAGCACGTTTGAGGGATACAACAAAGTGCAGCTTCAAGCAGGGAGAAACGGGAGTCAATCATTAGGAGTTACTGACGGCTGACATGCTGTCACACACCGATTAGAGGCTCACTTTGGGGTGCAATGTCAGTTAAGGCTGAGGTAAAGAGGCAACATCAGAAGAGCACCTAGTTTGCCCAGCAGCATTTTCTGATCCTAACCGGGCATTTCATCAACATAGAAAAGAAGGTTGTTCATATGTTGGCTTTCAGCCATAAATCATATTCATGAGGCAAGATAACCATCATCTGTATTATCTTCTGTCATAAAGCTTGTGGAATAACATGATATGACATTACAGTTTGTGCAAAGGTTGATGGATCCCTTCAGAAACTACAGCAAATCATAGCACACGGGTAAGTAATGGATTGCATGGGTCACAACGGATTGCATTTTCCAGAACTTTTAAACATCTCTTCCCTTTCTTCATATTTTCAGGTTTAGAGAGCAATGGGAGCAAGATCCCATGGGATACAATGTTCTAAAGATTTTGGCTAGTAGAAACTGCTCATTATAAAAATAAAGACCAGCTCCCCCCTTTGTAGGTATGACCACAAACTTCTCAACAATTCTCAAGATATATTTTTTTTTGGTTTTGTAGTTTTGCTTGTTTGAAAGCAAAAAGTGATCAGCTTAGATGATCCTCTGGACTAGAGATTGTATTTATACTTTTCTTGGCCATTATGTGCAAACATTCACTGGTAACTTCATGCATGTGACCTCAGAAATTGTAGGTATTGCTCCAAAAAAGGCAATATTCTGCTTTAATTCTACACATACTCGAAACAGTAACTTCTTCCTCGGGAGCATTAGTACGAATGCTTTATTTTGTCCAATCCACAAAACTTTGATACTGAAATTCTTTTGAACTAGGTGTCTGAATCCCATAGTTCTTGCAGTTGTTGAAAGTCTATAATGAACTTTGCTTTAACTCCCTGTGCTGGGGCTAAAGCAAATCCCTCGTTGCTGCTGCTTGAGTCTGCTACGAGTCTTCTAAGTAACTTTCATCCTTCTGCCTGCATCATAACACTCTAATTTTTGCTAATTGTAGCAGCTTCCTCCCTTTATTGTTGTGACGTGAGTTATTCTTTCCCTAGCTGCAATCCTGGAAAAGTCTAGAGGGTCTATTTCCAACTGAGGCATCTGTGAAATGAGAGCTGCCCAAATACTCAGCAGCTACTACCAGCTCTAGAGAACATTTAATCTAAATGGACAAAAGAGATCAAATGAAAAAGGAAGGCAGTGCTGGAGATGGGGAGCTGCTGTGTGTAAAACTTAGGAGTTTCCCACAGGTAACGCAAGCAATCTGAGGGTAGAGCCAGGAGGAGAACTCAGACCTCTGGATACTCAAACACTGCTTTAATCACAGTGTCCTAATTTGTAAGCTCTTCTTGCTCTCAGTTCTTTTACTGAAATGTTGTTAGAATACGTATTCTTGCAGCAGAGGTTTTGGTATTAGGATTAAGCATTCCTGGAAAAACAAAAACAAAACAGTGTACAAGAAGATGAAAGAGACAGAACATTTTGTACAACTAATGAGAAAATACTTTATCATTTCATTAGCGTCTCCATAGAAGCTGAGCACTAGACTGTAGGCTTTCTTGCTCATTTTGCAGTAGCACATAGCCAGGGGCACACATTTACTTTCTATTCCTTCTTGCCACTGGTCATATTTGGCAGAATGAGAATAATTTCAGAAAAAAAGATCCCAAACTTTTTAAAAAAGTTGTGGTTCTGATCACTATAATCTCAATTTCCTCATTTCTCTGACTGTAGAATTTAGCTTCTAAATTTTTTAGAAGTTGCTACAAAATACTTGGTGTTGCAATGACAGTTCTTGTTCACTGCTTGGCAACAGGAGCCAGTGTTTTGTAGGTACGTGCCTATGGATACAGTAGGATGCCATTTCCTTTGTTAGGAGGCTTGCCCATAACACTACAATATATAGCAGGAACAGTAAAATTCCTTATCCTGCTTATCTTAAAGTTATTTCAACAAGACAAATCCTTAGCACCTGCGAACTCAGTCCTTCCCATTGGGACATCACCCATCATATACTACAGATACATATGTATGTATCTGTATAAAATATC